TATACATTTTTAATACTCCAAACTTCACTTTCCTTGAAATATGTTTAAATATAGTGTGGTTTAATGAAAGGCCAGATGATGATATTTCATGGTCTTTCATGCCACAGCCGAAGTAAAATGAAACTGTCCACCAACTCTTAATTTTTATGAAAATCTTTTTATTTTCCCTTTTAACGAAAGAAAATAAGTGAGCTCTCAAAGATCTTTCACATGCAGCATCAACCACCATTGTTTCAGTCTCATAGGTTTGGATCTAGGAATGAAATTTTCCACCATTAGCTTCCATAGCTCAGTTCTTTGCAGCGCTGGTAATGGATGAACTCATCCCCATATCTCATTACAAAATCATTTCAAACAGTGTACAGCACTGCTGGCACCCCTGGGACTTTTGTCATTCTTCTGTGCACAAACAGCCTTCCTGACATCTATGATGGTCTATGGAACTCTCTAGGAATTTTCAGTTCTTTCCCATGTGTTTTTCTATTCCCAGTCCCCACCCCTTTCTGTATACTGATTTTGTGAAGCTACTCAAGGGAACAACATTCCTCCCCAAATCTCCCCAGTCTGGATCTACAGCACTGTAATCAGCTCTAATGTTTCATGCAGACAATGAAATAATGTTGCCTATAAAACTACTGGAGAAGTACAAAGCCTTCTCAGACATAAGGCTTTGGCTCCATTTCTTGTCCCTTAACGTGCCAGTCACAGTAGGCATCATGCCCAGAACTCCCTCTCACATTTCTTACCTTCCTTTTTTCCTTAAGCTATTTGAAATTCTTGTACCTATAAGGTGCAAACCTCCTCTTCTTTCCCAAACTACTTCTTATGTAAGCCATCACCTGGCTTCTTTCTTCCTCGGATTTCTTCTCCCTCTTCAGTCAAGGTTCCCAGTGTCCCACCTCTTGCATCTGTTCACACATGGGGACCAACAGCATTAGGCTGGAAGAGCTTATATCTGCACTGCCTCCTGGCATATAACTGCAGTATCTACCGAAAAGGGCATCTCACTGTGCTACCATCACAGGACGGTGCACATATTGCATCACACCACTTCTTCCCCATGACACCTGATCTGTGAACCTCAGCTATCAGAAAGGAGCTGTTGGATGTATCTGAGCCCTATCAAGAGGAAGGCAATTCCACAGAGCTCAGAATGTCATCATTCTGCTCTCCAAAATGACAAGAACCAGTTCTTCTCTCCTAGTTATCATAGGACTACATGACTTCCTCCTTGGCTCTAAAGATTTGTCTTCCTCTTTCTGCTGGAGTCTGTCAGCAAACCTGAGCAGATCTCCCACAAACATTCTTTGAGTATAGGTGATTGTTTATTTATATATTATTTATATAGGGCCTATACCATCCGAGCGTTTTACATTATTAAGTCCATCCTTTACATCCACAGTAGCTAATGCAGGAAATATTTTTGTCTTCTGAGCACTTACAAAGAATTCAAAACAAGACTTCCTCTGACTTCTTACTGCCAAAGTACTGTGTACTTGAGTGTAGTCTAAAATTTGCCAGAGGTACTCCCAAAGGTTATGCAAGGCCGTGATTCAGAGAAATGGCGCTGAACATCTATGTCAGAAAGTGAACTGTGCTCAGCTGCATACACTGACTCAGCTGTTATGCAGACACCTGGCAGATACAGACCTTCAGCTGCCATCTGTGCTGCCTGTATTGTGCAATCACATCCCTGTAATCTTAGAGTAAAAATGGAGGGGAAGAAGTAGCAATAACTGTGGAGAAAGAAGAGTGCAGTAAGTTTCATATAACCTCTAATATCAAGAAGTGTAGGTCACAGAGTAGTTGATTTTGCTTGCCATCAAAGCAATTTTCACAGTAGGTGATACACAAAATTATCCTAGACTCATTCAGTTTTTTCGAATAATCGAGGAGAATTACACACACATAAAACTCATGTTATATATAGGACAGTAATAGTCATTACCATAGGAACTGTCTGTCAGATGCCTGCTTGCAAAGAATCCTTCAGAGACATCACAAGGAGAAGCCATTAGGTTTTTGTAATCTGCAGAGGGTAATAAATTCTGAGTGACACTATTGGTAGTTACTTTTTACATCAGCATCTCTACTTGCTGATAACTGCCCCTTATCTTCTCCCTCTAGAAAGAAAAAGCAAAAAAGAATGTCTATCAGCAGGAGGTTTTATTCTTTAATACCCAGCTCTGTATCACATGCACAGGAGCTCATCCCAACACCAGAAATTTAAGATAGGGGAAGGCAGTAATGCAAAATCAATGTAGTACAGTGGTGGCCTCCTCATGCATTTTGAGCTAAAAGGGAGACAACCAAAGAACAACTAGGTTGAAAGTTCCTGCAGTTAACTCTACACCTTGTTTATCTTTCCAACCTTTCCCAGAACTCCTCAGAGCTTTCCAAGTTACACTGGGTTGCTCCCAGTATTAAAAGGTTTCAGAATGGTGCTATGTGGAATAAATGGTGTAAATTAATAAATTCATTTGTTCAATGGCAATCATGCTTTCAGCTTTTATAATTGGGCTTTTGTACTCAGGCCTTTTCATATGTCTTTTCCTTAGAGGTAACCTCATATGTGAGAGCTAAAGCAGTTCTCTCATAGACAGCCCTCTGCTCCTCAGATGCCAGGCACAGATTAGCCAAGGAATTACTTCTCCCTCCATTTTCTTCTCTGTACCTCTGTTTGGTTTCCGTATCCAGTTTTGGCCAGGTTTAGAGGCTATATGGATTATATATCTTCATTATTGTATTCGGAAACCTTTTTAAACAGTATGTGTCTGTTAGTCCATAAATACATGTATTTTTAATATGAATATATTTCTCTAATTTACTTTCACTTGCCTTTTACAAATTACTTATTGCATCTAGTCTTCAGGGCAAAACCAGGCTCTTCCCACATGTTAGTATATTCAGTATGTAAAACTTCAGTATGTTAAACTATTCTGCAGCTCCACAGAATATTAAATGATATTTCATAACCTGTGATTGTTTTTTCTTACAGAGTTGCTAAGGTAACATGCTGGAACTTGTGGTTCAGTTTTGTTCAGCTGACTGTTTATTACATTTTAAAAATAAATTATTTATTATATTATTTTATTTATTATTTCTATAACCTCTGCAATTCTCCATGGGCTTCTATTCCAGAGACAAAGGCAGCCTGGTGTTTGGGAGTTCCTTTTCTCAGGGGTGATGATATGGGGGAGAGGTATATAGCACTAGACAGTAGATCATTAAGTGGCTTGTTGCTCTTACAGAAGACTGAGATATTGGGTCATCAGTCGACTTTCCTTTGTTTTGCTAGTACATGGTACATGCTTGTTCCTCCTGCGTGCTTAGCTTAACATTTGTCACTATTCTTTGTTGAAGCCCTTCTTCTCAACCATGCTTGGGCCAGACACGTCCTATCCCCTTCAGGAGAAGCAGCAAGCCTCCTATGACCTGACCCTGACATTTTGTGCTAAGGCTTCTCCTATCTTACTGCTTCTCAGGGTACCTGGCAAGCTTGGGAAGTGCCTCGGTTGCATGTTAGGCCAAGCACAATCAGCTCGACAAGGCATTGCTGCCTGTGCTTTTCACCCTCCCCATTGTGCCTGCAATTCCACTTCAATGTCATCACAATTCCTTGTATTCAACAGCTTCTGTACAAGCTACCCACTTCAGTGTTTATTTTACTGATTCATGAATATTTTAAAACACATTCCTCTTGGAATCATAGAATCACATCTTTTAATTAAAAAGTCAGGTGACCATCAAATGCCTATAGATTGTAGTTTCATCACACACAGGCTGTTCTGAAGATACAGTCTTTAAGGAAACTCAGTTTCAAGGCTTAGGAGAGACCTTTCTCACCCATCACTTCAGTAACTCAAACCTGCTGCTTCCACTGAATTGGGAAAATGGTATGAAAGCATGAAGTCCTTATTAAGTTTAATGTTTTCATTCACCTAGTTTACTGCCTTCCCATCTGCCCTTTACTTGCAGAGGACTTAAAATAAGGTAGGAGCTAAAGGAAATGTAGTCATCCTGCTGTTGTCTATTTAGCTTTCATTAAGTAAGTTGGTGCACGGCTCACACTCATTCTCAAAACCAGCCCATCATCTAAAAGTATTTACATAAGACTCTGCATTATATACCAACCTCTGCAACACTAGTATTAGCTACTTACATCTGCCAAGGCTGACTAGTAAGTGCTTTACAGTATCAATTCATCCTAAGCAAAAAGCATGTTTGAGTGCTGCAGTGCTCTTGTTAATGCCAATAAGAAGTATCAGAGCTCATATGACACCTAGCAGAAATTAGTACCCACATTCAAAGAAAAGCTTTTGTTATTTTCCAGAGTATTATGTGGACTTTATTGAGATGACTGCATCTGACACCTGCTGTAATATAAAATGCAGCTATAATTAGCCAACTGATGCTCTCCGCAGTTTAGGTCGAATCCCTTCTGTGGGAATTATGCTTTAAAATATTCAGAACTCCAAGTGGCTCTCATTACATTTAATTTTTACTTAGAATTAGGTGGTCTAGAAAAAAAATTTAGGATTGTAATAGCCCCCCGCTGAATGCCACACAGCAACGTGAAAACCCATAGATTTTTTTCCAAATAAAAAAATGAGAACAGCAGACTACACTACAGCCTCAATTGAAGTCTGGCTTTGCTTAATTGTACTTTTTGCACTCATCAGTCTCTCCTCTTCAGAGCAAGCTACAAAAATTGCCTGAATAGCCAAAGAAAAGTTTCCCACAGTCACTGGCCACAGAAAAACACCATTGTCCTTCCTCACAGTTTGATGGACAACATTTCTATAAATGGGTAGCCAGTCTGTCAATGGTACCCTTGCTGAAAAGGCAAAAGAAGAGAACAGATTCTGCCAATATCTGACAAAGCATGTTAACACATAATCAGGCATTCACTAGTCAGGCAGCTGCCCCTGGGACCTTCATAACACAGGTGCCTTTAAGCCATTTCCTATTCACAGATAAAGGAAACAAGCAGGAGATACCTGGGAAAGGAGCAGTCTATTGTGGCCTGTCAAATGTCCATCTTCTGGGCTGCCTGCATAAAACCAGAAAGAACATAAAGGAAACCTCAGCCTTAACTGCTAAATTATAAAACAGCAAAATACTCTCCAACTCCATAATCTTAGTTTAAATAATTAAAAAGGTTAGTAAAGGAGCACCATGCTTTATATGAAGTACCTTCATTCTTTTTCCTGCATCAAACCAAGCAAAAGATCTGTCATATCCCCAAGGACAACTAGAACAAAGCCAGCAGTAGTGGTCCCAGGACTATCACCATCACCCATGTCAGATTTGGTATGGTTTTTTCCATGCCTAATCTGCTCACTTCTTCACCCATCTGATGTTATTAAATTCATTCTTTAACTGAAGAAACTGGAATTTTCTGATGGACCAGTCTAGTGTGACTAAAAATTGATTAAGCTGCAGGACAAGGACTTTTTCCCTTTTTTTTACCAACTTTCTCTTAGTGAGCCTAACAAACAAGTGACATTTCATAGTCATTATTACCTAAATGTCACTAATAGAGCAATCATTTTAGCAGCGAGTAGATCATGATAAGACAATAGTTAGCTTTATGTAGAAGAAAACATTTCTCTTTTGTGATTGTGCATAAATGTGCCCATTTTATACACTCAGCATATTAAATTCCAAAATCTATAGCCTCAAGCAGGAACTCAGTTTACATTTAAGTAATCTCATTGATTTTTCATGGTGATTTTAAATAGCACTGCCTCTGTGTTCAATGCTAAACACATGGAAAAAAAATTAACAAATTCTATGGGATTTCCTGATGGAAGCAACTCATGGAAGCAGTACTGAGAAAAAAGTATCAAGAGATGTATCAGAACCACTGGAATTGCCCTGATGTTTTTGGCAGGCTCCTGCAGATGATGTGCTGTCTCTGAGAACATAAATTGCTGCAGTGCAGCATAAAGCACTTGCAGCAGAAACCAGAATATGGCATGGTATGACAAATAGGTATGGAATGCTCATCTGTGCACTTCTTCATGAAACAGTGCTCATATCTTGCTTTCTCTTCAAGCAAAAATGTTCCAAAGAGCACAGCTATGATTTCTCACAATTAACATTCTCTAAGCAGATCTACTCTTTCACACTGGGTTTTTATATGTATATTTATATGAATTTAAAACAGGAAATTTTCTGAGTTCCTGCAATAAAATGATTCAACTGGAATTCATGGCCATAATGAAATTAATCTGAAGCCAAGAATTAAAATGATTCAGATAAAATACAATATTATAAAATGTAAATGAAAAAATATCTATGATACCCTTTGTAATTTTTTCTTGGTCAGTTTTGAGAGTTCCATGTACTATGAGGTTTCTTAGCATTGCTCATACCTGTGCAGCTGAGCTGGAGTTACACTTTGCAACATTTAAAAAGGAGTGCTTGTTCTCTGTTGAATCAGCCTCAGGTCATTATCAAACTTACAACCTAGGCCCAGTCTTCCAAAGGCTTTTACACACAGGCTTAGCTTTATGCACATGAATAGTCCTTTAGAATTCATTAGAATGATTTGTGCACAAAGTAAGCAGGTGCATGCCTAGCTTCACTGAAGGATTGGGACCCAAAATGTCAAAGACTCCATATTCCCTATTAACAAATGCCTCTTCTGCATTAGAAAAATACTGACAGTGTAAAGATGAGTGTGCTCTTTTGTTTTGCCGGTTTACTATAATACAATGGAGATCATTCAAATAACTTTATAGTTACTTTATATCCAAAAAGGGCATTATGTATTTACTCGTACAGATGTAGAAGCTGAAGAATACTGCAGGTGCTGTGAACACAGACTGATATATCCAGAGGAGCTTAAAGGACTTAGGTGCCTATCTTACATTGTAACATGGATATATTAACTCCTTAAGGCTATTTTGAGAGGTTCAACTCAACTACATAATATAGGTCCCTAATTTCAACTATCAGTCTATGAATCTTACATCTAAAGCAGATCTGGATCTGGTTCCTGAAGTCAATGGAGGAGCCTGCTAGATACTGAATGATTGATCGGACCAATAATGACAGATGTGGCCTATTAGACGGTAACTGTCCAACTACTGGGGTATAGAAATTTATAAGCTAAACTACTGAAGCAGGAGGTAAATTTAAATTTGAGCAACTTAACAGTTCCACAGAAAAGGCTAGGAAGACTGTATGTTTGGAAAAGAACTTGGCTCCCAGCTAACTGTGAAAAGCTTATACATAGCACAGCTGAAGAACTCTAAACATTCCTAAGCATCCATCACTATTATTTCTTTTAAAATAATAGCCAAATTATACTAATAAAGATGCAAGCTACAGCCTTTAAATCAAGCACTCAGCAATCAAGGAATCCCAAAAGTTAAGGTTTCTCTGAAGTAAATGTGCTATATTCCTGTTTCCCTGTTAAATATAGATTTTCAAGTATCCCATTAAACCTGAGTTAAATATATAATATGTGCAGCATGTACATATTAATGCAGTGGAAAATTATTAATTTTTAGACTATCTTCAGATATGAGTGCTTAATTGCACAATGCTTGTGTCAGTTTATTGACAGTTTACAGACAAGGGAAACACTGTGCGCATAGACACATATTCTGCAAGACACCTTCTACATTTTCATGTGATAGCCTTTGAAGGAAACTATAGAAAGGAGGTTTATAACCAAAGCTTTCAAGGTAGCTATAGAAGTCTAAAATTTGTGAACACAGAATTACAAACTGACTTCTAAGAAGAGATGCTGAGGTGGGCCTTGCAGAGGTCAGTTCTTGATCGCAAATTATATAACTGAACTGAAGAGTTTTTTGTAGAGGATGATAATCTTATTTGCAGACAGCAGCAAGAAATAGGGGGAAGGCAGGTAGATAAACTTAAATATGGTGTAAAATTTCTGAAGTTTACATAAAGACATGAAAAATAATGACCAAAGTAAGGCAAAGCATGGAGCAGTATCAGAAAATCTCAAGGCTCTATAATATTCAGAAAGGAAGGGCCATGGGTCTATATGCATGTCAGGATAAGGTCACTAAACAGAAAATGGGCAACAGCCTCATGAAGATTGTTGCATTTTGTTAGGAATGATGAAATTACTGCAAGTCATAAAGATAAGATACTTATAGGTTGGGGTTTTTTTCTTTAAGTGCAAATACATCACAGCTGTATTTCCCACAGGACATTTCATACAAATCCTATTCCAATCCTGTCTGAACAGGGCTTTCTAATTTTTGATAAAGTGAGAAAACCACCAAAAAGTCAGCAAAGACATTTGCTTTGAAGGAATGCAGCTCCTATTGGAGAGTTAGATTTGCAATTCAGAGCCTTTATTTGATTAAGTTAATAAGCACATGGCTACATTTTAAGGAAGCAGGCTGAGTTTTTTCAGCTGGAGTAGGGCTTAAAATTAGGCACCATCTTAAGCATCTTTTTGAACAAGAAACCATAACCTTGGTTGGAGCAATGCCTTTTCCTGGGTACCCAGGTAGCAATAGAAGTGAAGTGCTCTTCTTCTGAAATTAATGCTTGGAAAAATAAATAAAAACTTTTATTCCGGAGGGGACTTTGTTATGTCCTATTCTATTTTAATCCAATGAACAGGATACTATCAATTTTCTATTTATAAACTGAGAATTTAGAGCAGCACTGATAATCTGAGTATTAAGGAAAACTACATTTACAGCAGTCAGTGCCGAGCTGCACCACTTGCCTGGGGTTCTGGGAAGTATTCAGGGTATTGTTTTTATCATTGAAGCCCCAAATGATTTCAGTTTAATTTTTTTCTGAAGTGTTGTCTCTTTTGCTTTTCTATGTGCTACAGCTGACATAAGCAGAAGTACACAGCATGAGCTTTTCAATTCAGGAGAAAAAATTGCTTATACATTACACAGGCTCCTTAGCTCAGCACTTCACTCTTTAGCACAACAAACCTCAACCACTGGTACACTCTGCAAAGTATCCACCTTTCTTTGGGTGTTAGTTAGGGACAAAATTAAAGTGTGAGTTCAGAAATTATGTTAATGTAGTACTCAACAGAAAAAATAGTGCTAGTATTTGTTAAAAGTGGTGACCAGCAAACAGAACTTGTGTTAATTTATTAAAATTTGCTGTGATTTTAAAATGCTTAAAGGCACCTAGAGTTGGATAGAGATGTATCTTTATCATTTTACAAATCAAATAAAAAAGAGCAATAGTCCAAAACCAAATGAAAATTATTTTCCATTTCAAAATAATTTTCATTCAAACAATGATATTTTCCACTGAAGAACTTAGTGGTTTTGTGTTTATAGTTTTCAAGGTGGTTTTGGTGGGAGAGGCTTTTATGTGCCTCAGAGATCCATTTCCAGGATCAAAGCTGCAGAAGATTTAATATTATTATGATAACTCTATCCCTGAATGTTGAAAGCAATTCCAAATTATTCCCTCCCTTGGTAGTCATATTATTAAAATATCTGAAAGTGGACATTACTGCCAAGTAACACACATTTAAATCTTCTGATCCCTCTTTCTAAACTAGTATATATATCTCCAGCAATCCACTTCTTGCCAGTTTTCTACAAATTCCCTCCAAATTACCAGCATCTTTCCAGCAATGAGAGCTTCCAATATTTTATTGTTTCACCAGCTTTAGTAAGCATGCCATGTAATTTCCTCTGTCTTTATGGGAGGCCTGGATTTACTGTGGCCAGATTTACTGCCAGAGGCGACTGCAAGTGTGTTCATTTTTACTGTGCACTACACACAGTGAGCATATAATCATCTTTTGGAACCATTCTCCTCTGGTCTGTCTCTTCCATTAGATATGAATGTTTAACATACTTTGTCTTAGCTGTATTTGCACGTTTTTTCCCTATTCTTATTTTCTCACATGGTCTCATTTTTCTAATCTTTTAAATCACTTTGGATTATTTCTATTCTGTTCATGCTTGCATAATGCGTTACATAATCTGTGAAATTTCAGATACCAAATTTATTCAGCTAGCAGCTGCAACATGGATCAAGGCCTTCTGAGACAGTGCCCTCTTTACTCGTAGGAACCATTATTGTTAAGAGAAGACAGTTGCCATCAACAGGAAGAAGGCCAAGATCTAGTTTCTGCTTAGTAAATAAGAGGTGGATATCAACAACTCTACAGACTACTTCATGGTCTTTTGCTTACTTTTCTTGTAATGATCACTGAATAAATAATGATACATCACCCCCACGTCTCTTGATATCCTACTCATTCATTCATCCTCCCTTATATTTCCATGTATATGGTAGCATAACCTCCAGTACTTTTCTGACATCTGTAGAATCACAGAATGGTTTGGGTTGGAAGGGACCCTAAAGACCATCTAGTTCCAACCCCCCTGCCATGGGCAGAGTCACCTTCCACCAGACCAGGTTGCTCACAGCCCCGTCCAACCTGGCCTTGAGCACTGCCAGGGAGGGGGCAGCCACAACTTCTCTGGGCAACCTGTTCCAGTGCCTCACCACCCTCACAGTGAAGAACTTCTTCCTTACATCTAATCTAAATCTTTCAATTTAAAGCCATGTAGATCACTAAGGGCATATCACTATGCCCTGTGAAAAGTCCCTCCCCATCCTTCCTGTAGGCTCCCTTTAGGTACTGGAAGGCTGATATAAGGTCTCCCCAGAGTCTCCTCTTCTCTAGGCTGAACAAACACAACTCTCTCAGCCTGTCTTCATAAAAGAAGTGCTCTAGCCTCTAATCAACTTTGTGGCCTCCTCTGGACCTGCTTGAGCAGGCCCATGTCTTTCTTATGCTGGAGGCCCCAGAGCTGAACACAGCACTGCAGGTGGGGTCCCATGACAGTGGAGCAGAGGGGCAGAATCATCTACCTTGACCTGCTGGACACACTTCTCTTGATGCAGCCCAGGATAGGGTTGGCTTTCTGGGCTGAAAATGCACATTGCTGGCTCATGTTGAGCTTCTCATCAATGAACATTCCCAAGTCTTCTCCACAGGGCTGCTCTCAATTCACTCCTTGCCCAGCCTGTATTTGTGCTTGGGATTACCCTGACCCATGTGCAGGACCTTGCACTTGGCCTTGTTGAACTTCATGAGGTTTGCACAGGCCCACCTCTCCAGCCTGTCCAGGTCCCTCTGGATGGCCCATCCCTTCCCTCCAGCGTGTCGACTGCACCACACAGCTTGGTGTCATCAGCAAACTTGCAGAGGGTGCACTCAGTCCCACTGTCTGTGTCTCCAGTAAAGATGTTAAACTAGTGCTGGTCCCAACACCGACCCCTGAGGAATGCCACTTGTCACTGCTCTCCAATCAGACATCAAGCTGTTGACCACAACTCTTTTGAGTGTGACCATCCAGCCAATTCCTTATTCACCGAGTGGTCCATTCATCAAGCGCAAATCTCTCCAATTTAGAAATAAAAATGTCATGCAGGACAGTGCCAAATGCTTTGCACAAGTCCAGATAGAGATATATGCTTATCTATTTTTCATTTGAAATGTTTTGTACACCAAAACAACCCTTTGCTAGAGGTAAAGGTAATATGCTCAAAAGCAAAGATCTCAGGTCTCTCAACTAACAAAGCTACATCTAGGCACTGCTAAAGTAAGCATTTACCTGCTCCATCACTCCAAGAAAGCTGCATTTTTTCAGAAGTGGAATTTATTAGGCAGCTGAGTATTCATCACTTAAAGTTAAAACCTGTTTCACAAATGTCTAGAGTTGATATATCTTTGCAGGCCATTTGAGTCAGGGCAAATTGCCTCCTCTGACACTGAGAACTAACAATCTATGCCAGGGTGTTACATCTGTGCTCCATATTCTGTTCTGGCTAGCAAATTACTTACATGTTTATTCAGTGTAATAGTGCTGATAGGGGTAGGGGAAAGGAGATTGTATTGTCCTTTATTCTTGAAAGCTTCATGGTTTGATCCAAATTAGATTATTACATTTTGCAGAGTTGCTTCAGCTGCCTGTCCAAAGATAAAATTGCAAGAGGAAGGGCAGTCTGAAGCAGCCAGTCCTTGACCATAAAATGGGATTAGCATTGTTGGATAGAACTGCAAAATAAAATTTCAGTCTTTATTAACTGACTACCATTCTGTGTATGTGTTCAAGATACCGTCATTTGACAAAAACAGTATCTTCACAGGAATTACATAAATTTCCCTACACTTCAGAGCTTCAAATCAGGAACACATTCTGCAGTAAGCATTTCTGAATCCAAAGAATGGTTCTCATCATCTGAAACCCGCCAAATGCCATCTAGCTCACCTCAGATAAGATATTCTTGTACAATGCAGCTCTCCATGAAATATATTTGTAATCATTAGCACTGAAGTTCTCTTGGAACCAATCTTCCTGTGAAACCGAGCAGAACTTTCTCTGAGTATTCTCAAATATTTGACTGCTGAATGGAGACACAGATTACTATGTCTTCAGTTTAGTGGGATTTATTTTCACTAAGTTCAGGTAAGTTTTATCTGGATACTTTTGAGAAGAATGCCTTTAAAGTACCCCCCAAAATATCAGTCAAATAAATTAATCTGCCTAACATTTTTATTTAAGAATGCTTTAACATTTGCATATATAACAGCACTCACTATTTCCCAATGGAACAAAAAATATTGGGGGGGAGGGGGGGAAGGAACAGGAAGGGGTAGGAAGGTTAAAGGATCAAAAAAAATTAGTATATCTAAGGAAACATCAGGTAGAATCTTTGTCAGAATTCATACTGTCCTTGCAAAGATGTCAAATAGGCTGTCTTAGAGGGAATATAGTCTTGCAAGCCCCATAATCAGAGTACTCTGACACACCTGCTCCCTTTGGTCTGATGAACAACTGTGCTGCAACCTGAAGAGTCAAGGCTTTGAAGAGAAGCACGTATGAATATAAAAAAGCAAAGGTATAACCAGAAAAATGCAGCTGAAACAAGCACAGTAATCCAATATACTTAAATAAAATATGCACTGTCCTTCCCTCACAAAGGAGCATTCGGTGGGCGGGGGCACTCCTACAAGCGTGCCTGCCATGTGCAGCTCTGCAGTCTGCCAAAGGACAGGATGGAGCCACGAGGCAAAGAAAAGGGTGAGGGAGTAAGGTGACCTCACAGGGAGAGGCCATCCCACAGGAGCTGCTGGCCTAGCATTCATAGCCTAGTGGTACCAAAGGTGTCAAAGCACCACACAGATCTGGGCCTACACACTGTGACTGCAACCACCGAGGTGGTCTTTTACCTGATGGCTGCAATGGACCTGAACTGAGAACTGCTTCAGGGTCCCAGAGGTCTGAGAAAGGAGCAAAAGCTAAGATGCTCCTCAGGCTCAGAAAACGGGGCTGCTCGCTACGCTTAAGAGACAGGTACTGCAAGAGAGGGTCACACCACAGCATGGAAACCTAAGGGGCCGGAGGAGGATGGGCAGAGCCGGGCCACAACGGGCAAGCCTGAGGCTGCCTCTCCCGCCCGGGCCCTGCTGCCACTGCACATAAAGAAACAAAGCTGAGCTCACTAGGTACTATTTATTCTACTCTCATAACTAAAATGTAATAAAAAGTGGTTCTATTACTGAAATAAGCTAGTAATAAACATAAATTAAAAATATAGTGAGAAAATACATGTCTTTGACAAGAAATAGAGTTAATTTTGATAATAATATCACACTTTACACAAAATATGAAGTGTAAGCCAGGGATGAGACATTTGATTGTATAAAACTTTCACTTTCATGAATTGCCAAGCTCCTTGTCCATATTTTGTTATATTTTGCTGGAAATATGATGATCAGATTCTGTTTGACAATACCACAGCAGTTTTCTACTACAAAAACAAAGTTATATACTTACACAGTTATGTGTCTTATAGCAGAGTTAAAAGACATGAGATATTGCATGGTGAATCCTTTATTGAAAGAACAATCCTTTCTCTGGTATTAACAGTACTTCCCATATGAGAAGACTTTGGGAGTAGGACTCATAATATTGTCTATACAGATTATTTGAATAGAGATCCAAAAAGCACCTAAGCACATTAACTGGGACCAACATAGGCTCTATATAATAACACAGAAGGGATTGCATATTATGACTTTCAAAAAGGAGCACCCTTCCCCTCCTCTGAGTGATGCAGCAGTTCCCAGAATAAAACTCTGGAAATAGCCTTTTGCGGATCCCCATCCATTTGCATGTGGCGCATCGCCAGCTGGTGCATAGTAATTTACAGAGCACCTTGTGAGGAAGAACAGCTCAGATTCTCACGTGATTTCAGCACAGGCAGACTAGCAATCTATAATGGTGACTCTATAACCTCTTATCCTCCCTAAGAGATGTGCATTTATACTGCATCCATGTCACAGGACTGGATTTCAAAACTTGAGTTAATCTCTCAGCCTCTTCATGTTCAGACAGGATAACTGAAGTTTAAATTCTGTCTCCTCTCTCCAAAAATGCTTAGATTTCACAGTTACTGACATAGAACAAAGATGTTTTGTCATCAACTTTCTAGATGCACGAACAGCACTCGATTCATTCATACCAACAATGGTAAATGCT